AGGAGGAGGAGAGGAGGGAGGGAGGGAGGGAAAACAATAATCAAAGAAATCAGTTAAGATCAAAGTAGAGAATAGAAGACTAAGGCACACCCCAGGATACAGTAAGTTGCTCACTGGGGAGGGAGCCTGCAAAGCCTGAGAGTAGAACAGGTAGCTGAGTGGGGGAGGAAGCCAGAAGGCCCAACTGACAAAGTGATTTTAACTCTTAGTCACAGACTGTGTGAAAATGAAAGGAATATAAATGTTATACAATACTTAATTTCTTAAAATATTTCACTTTTCAATAAATGTTAATACTAAGAAAAAAATCAATGGCAGGCTTCATTGCCCTCATTTTACTGATCTAATATTAAACCTCAAAGACTATTCTTATAACTTGAAATTTTAATTTGGAAATTTAATTTGGATTACTTGGACATTATTTTGAATAAATATAAAAAGATTTTTTTGTTGTTTTTGTTTTTTATCTTCACTCATAGAAGGAAATGTCGCATACTAAGAAAATATCTTATGTTGGGAAAAAATTTAGTCTTTGAGATGAAGTTATTTACTAATTAACATCTTTTTTCCTCAAAAAGGCAACCACATTTGACATCTAGGTCAAAAAGGAAAAGTGGAGAATAAGAGCAATTTCTTTGTTTTACCAATTTCTTTGTTCATTTCTGATAGTTACCATGATAAGTAACAACTGTCTAGGAAGGAATCTTGAATATCCAAGCCAATGGAAGACAAACAAATTTCCCCATTGCTAAAGTATGAATATGTGTGATTTCCTATACAAGGTTTGAGATTCCTTGAAAGGGCATCATCTTAATTATAATTCATCATTTAATATTTTGTTTCATGGAGGTAATCTAACTTGATTATATCCATTCTTGTATGCTTCTATGAATTTATTTTTTTTAAATTCTCTGCCTTTATCTAAACATTATCTAAACATTCTATTTTAATCTTTTCACTCACTAAATACTGATCTCCAAAGAAAGGAATATCAACATTCAGGGCTGGTGTTGTGGCTCAGAGGTAGAGCACTCGGCTAGCACATGCAAGGTCCTGGGTTCAATCTTCAGCACCACATAAAAATATATAAATAAAATAAAGATATATATATATATATATACATACATACACACATTTATATGATATATATATATAAAGAATATCAGCATTCAATTACTGAACTCTATCGAACGATTTTCTTCCTCATATGAATCAGTGATTCACTAATTTTCATGCCCTATAATGAATCTGCTCTTTCATGTTACACCTTATTCTAGAATAATAATTACTTATCACAGCTTGGTAATATCAGTGTTAGTAATAATGTATTCAATGGCCCCAAATTAGCCAGGTATGGAAGGTTCCAAAAACTTAGAGACAAGGAATAAGGATCCAAAATACATAAAAAAGAGATTGTAGAGAGATTTTATCACCTGAGAATGGAGGCAAAGGTTAAGGATGTACATGAGTTGATAGGTTTGGAGAGCAATTTGTTGGGGCAATAAAGTTTGAGATAGCCACCTTCATTTT